CATTTCCCAAAGGGGTTCCACTCGAGTGCCTGGACTGGTGCGTGATGTCCCCAGTCGACATTCTCAGTGCATCCATCTCAATCCATCTCCACCCACTTCCACTGCATATTTGGTGAGCGATAGGTTCTTGCTTTGTTGGTTCGTCGACAGACAGCCAGAGTTCCTTCTTGCTTACTCTTATTATTCTGGACATGTGAGCTTCAGTAATGAGCCAGAGTAGGCAGTTGTTGATGAATATCTGTAGTCCGTTGGAAATGCGTTTCGTAACGCACCAAGTCTCTCAACAACATAGAAACACTGACTTACCTGGATTGGTGTTGAAAATCGTGTTGTTCATGCTTCATGTTGAGTGTGGAAGATCTCCACAATGGTATCAGGTTAATGAACGCCTGTTTTGCTGTCTTTCCAACCCAGCTGGGTGGCTGGCTGGTTTTGACGTCCCCATCTGTGCCAGTGCCGACTGTAGTTGAAATGATGCTGCCTTGCCTATGTGGATTGATGAAAGAGACTACTTCCTTTAAGATTCTCCCATTGATGGTGATTGCAGCTTGTTGTTATCGTTGGTGGTAGTGTTGGTTGGGTATCATCATCACCTCTGTCTTCTCTACATTCACTTGAAGTCTCATCTTTGCCTTGCTAGGTTCAAACATAGTGCAGACATTTTATGTCCCCATGTTTAATTTCGCTTTCATTGAACGAAGACACATCTGCCAACCGGCTTCATTTCGTCTCCCCGATTCCATCGAGGAATCAGTTTGTTTTTATTTTTTATATTTTGTCTGTGTTTTGAAGTTTCTGTAGCGGTTGGATTGGTTTTACGGGGTTGGGTTGCTAGCCCTATGCCTAACTCTCCCTCTTTATCCTTGTTTAGGACCGGCTAGTAACTAATGAGCTAGTTAAACAGGCGAGGTCATGGTCATCTTTTTTTCTGAGTATTATTCAGAAAAATATGTTGAATCATTTTGAGACACATATATACAATTTCAACTTAAAGTTACTTAATCTTATACTGACAACGTTTACAATGAACAAGACAGTATTCCCTGTACAGCATTACTGAACGTAATGCTCCAAACTACTTATAACTAAGTTCAATTGAAAACAAAAAGTAATTTACTGAAGTAAAACTTCTTTTCAATGATGAAAATTTGAAACTTATAAAGTGTTTGAAAGTAAAACATTTCCATTTAATTTTTCCAAATGATTTACCAAGTTGATATCCATCATGAACTGACATCAGTTTGAAGGAAGAATGGAAACTTCGGATTATTGGACAGTTTTTTATCCTAGTATGCGACTCTTCAAAAGTGCACACTTACGACACCACCAGGGATCCAGCCCGTGAAGTTCAGATTCCATGGCCAGGTGGAGTTGTGGGGGCACTGTGTTGAACAGTCCTATACTAATGTTCCTCCAAATTATGTCAGTTTATGAATACCAACTTAAAGAATCTCTAAATTTTCACCCACCCCCCAAATTCATCTGAAGTAGTGCTCAGTCGTGACTTGATTCGAGAGGTGGTTGCTGAAGTTCTAATGGGAAGTCATGACCAGTGGAGAAAACCTGGTTGCCATGAGAATAGATACTGAACCATGATATTGGGTGACAGCCTTGCTATGCCATGAACTGACAGAAGTTGGAAATACGAACCACTGTATTCCAACCCAGTGGCTCAATGGTAACGTACTGGCCACCAAACTTGAAGGTCGTAGGTTCGATCCCTAGCAGGCGGTGTAAAAGGGTGTACACTGCTAAAGAGACCCATACTAGGAAGAAACAGCTGTCTAGTGCTACCGAATTTCCTCCTCCCTAATCCCTACACACCCCCAAATTCATTTTTCAAAATGTGCCATAAAAATACGTGCTTAACTATTTTAGTATTTCTCTGTCTACTATCAAAACGGTAACGTTATCGCTGGGCTGAAAATTATGCGACATTTCATCATCTACTAATGATCTTGATATTGAAATTCAGTTTGAGAGTCAAAAAAATTAAATAAATGATCTTCTCCAAGTTCTAAACAAATGTCTAAAACATCTAGACTCCTGCAATCAGTATATTAAGGTGAAATCGAATATTTGAAGGCTATTTTCAAAAGACTACAAGACTAACTGAACTACTTTCTTATAAATAAGATCTCGTTGCTAGTCAATCCCCGAAAAGAATTCCGGTATAGTTCTGATTTACCCTTGTGTTTTGTACTTCATGCTAATTGTCTCCTGGGTTCCTAGAGGAACATAGGGATTCTGTAGCACACCTCCATTCCACTCCCTTCTCTACAGACTTCGCAACCTCACTCCCCTACTGCCTATCACCCTTCATTTCTTCCTCACATCATCTCCTCCATGTCGCTCTCACCTCACACACTCAACTCGTCGTTTCCCATCTAGGTTCCATTCAGTGGCCTGGCTTGACGCGTGATTTCCACAATCGGTTTTCTCAGTTTGTCTTCAACTTAATCCAATCCATCTCCACTTCCTTCCATTGCATAGTTGTTGCACGGTGTGTTGTAGGTTGGTTCGTTGGCAGCCAGCCAGCCAGCCAGCCAGCCAGCCAGCCATCCACACTTCCTTGTTGCCTACTCTTACTATTCTGACCATCCATCTGATCTTCATCTTCAGTGTCGAGTGAGTGTATATGGCAGCTGTTGAGGATGTATGTGTGCAGTTTGTTTGAAATGTTTTTCGTGAAGTGCAATGTTTCTGCACCATCACACAGCAGCACTGACTTATTTGAGTGAATTGGTGTTGGAAATCCGAATATTGTTCACACTTTATGCTGAGTGGAATGGAGTCGAGTGTAGTGGAGTGTAGTGGAGTGGAGTGCAGTGGAGTGGAGTGCTGCGGATCTCCACACTGATTTCAGATTAGTGTGATGGCGTGTTTTGCTGTTTTTCGGATCGTGGTTATGACATCCTCATCTGTTCCACCGTCGCCGCCTGTGGTTGAGACGATGGTACCTGGGTAGGTGAAGGATACTACTTCCTTCAGGTTTCTCCCATTTATGGTGATTGGTGATTGTGCTTGTGGTTGTTGTTGGTGGTTGTGGTAGTGGTGCTTGTGGTTGTGGTAGTGGTAGTGGTAGTGGTTGTGTATCCTCATCACCTCTGTCTTCTCTACGTTCACTTGAAGTGAGTCTCTTCTTCACCACCCTGCCTCTTCTTTTCTGCCGACAGGTTCTTTTCTTGTGTATATCTTCGAGTTTATGTGACAGGCTATTGGATGTAGATGATAATCGGGGAAATCTAAATCTTCTTTGGTATCTTTTCGTCTGTCCATCCAGTGCTTGTCCATTTTCCTTTTTCTCACAGTTTACAGAATGATCCGTGAACCTTGATGAACTTTATATTTTTTTGCTGCATTCTGGGGTAGCGTGATCACGTTTCTTCTCTAGAATCGACTCATTACTTCACTCTAGAATATTCGGTTTTGATCACTTTTGGTTGACCTGCTGGTCAATTAAGGATTCATTTATTGTAACTATAAAAACGATTGTAGAGAAACTGAAAATGATTCATCAAGAAGAATGTTTTTCTTCACTGGATTTCCTTATGTTTTCAGTGTCACAATAGTCATTTTTTCTCCTGATTATTTCATTTGGTTGAATAAAGATATTTCATGCCATATTGGTTAACATGGTCGATTATTGTTCACGTTCATACTTTATGCACATTACGAAAAAGTACTTCTATTCATTGCTTTTTAGACACTATGGTATACCACAAACATTTATTAACCTCATTCAACAACTATATGAAGACTCCACATGACAAGTAATTCACAATCGAATGCTCAGTGACGCCTTTGAAATAAATACATGAGTAAGACAAGGCTGTCGCCTACTATCACCCATGATCTTCCTGATTGTGGTCAACTGGATCATGCAACAAACAGCAAGGAGCGAGAAGAGGGGGTTATGCAGGACCGCATAAAAGAATTTAGAAGATTTGGATTTCGCCAGTTAGGACTTGTGCCTGATGTCACACAAACTTTAAGATCTACAGGCAAAATCAAACAAGTTGACAGAAGAGACAGCAAAGACATGACTTCAGGTGAACGTAGAGAAAACAGAGGTGATGATGATACCCAACCAACACCACCACCACCAACAACAACCAGCTCCAATCACCATCAACTAGGAGCGTCACTGGCACAGATGAGAACGTCAAAACCAGCCAGCCAACCAGCCGGGTCGGAAAGACAGCAAAACAGGCGTTCATTCATCTGAAACCAGTGTGGAGATCTACTTCACTGCACTCAGCAGAAAGCGTGAATAATATCCGGATTTTCAACACCAATCCAGTCAAGCGAGTCAGTGCTTCTTCTGTATGCTTGAGAGACTTGGTGCGTTACGAAAGGGAGTTCTAACAGACTACAGATATTCATCAACAACTGCTCACTCTGGCTCGTCACTGAAGATCAGATGTCCAGAATAATAAGAATAAGGGATGAAGAACTCTGACTGTCTGTCGACGAACCAAAAAAGCAAGAACCTATCGCTCACCAAATATGCAGTGGAAGTGGGTGGAGATGGATTGAGATGGATGCACTGAGAATGTCGACTGGGGACATCACGCGCCATTCCAGGCACTCGAGTGGAACCCCGTTAGGAAACGACGAGTTAGGTGTCTGAGGTGAGGGTGACAAAGAGAAGATGATGTGAGTAAGAAATGAGAGTTTGTGGGCAGTTGTGGAGGCAGGTTGAAAGATTGGAGAGAACTGGAGAGTGTAATGGAGGTGTGCTACTGAAGTGGTATGTTGCACTAGGAACCCAATGGACAAATAATAAATAATAATTTATTACTCTATTGATTTGTTAGCTTCGAAAATATAGTGTTTAATATCACAGGATTTTTTTCTAAAGACTTTTACGTCTTCATGTGAATAAAGTTTGCCACAAGATTTCACCTTTCAATCACCTCTCTTTTCATTATTCAATATTAACTAATTACAAGAACAGAATCTAAGTGGAATTTTTCACAATAATAATATTTTCTTACTTCTTCCCATTGACTGACATATCGTACCAAACGTGTAAGTCTTAATAACCGTAGCATGCTTAATAATTTAGCTAAACGTAAAATTCTCAATGTACGCCCTGTAATTGAAAAAAAGTATTAGGAGAAAAATTTGTAATTAACTAAATTGTATCCATTTAATATGCAGTGTATAATATTAATCAGAATATTGAAGAGTATTGAAGGGTAAAAAATCTACTTCAAAATATAAAACTGCATATAAAAAAGGTATGCAACATATAGAATATCCAGAGATGTCAAGGCATCCACCAAGGAGCCTATCTGCGAACAATGATCGAGCGGATTGACCCAATACATTAACAGAATCTTGTAAGCATTAGACAAAATTAAATGAAACTCCTTTCATAAGAGATTAACTAGTGGATAACACTTTCACGTTTTAACTGATGGTTACTTGGTTCACTTTTCTGTGAGAACAACAGCACTCATTGCGGTGAAGGTATATCCAAATGATGAGTCCCGAGTAGGATGTAACGTGTATCCTGGATTTCACTACTAGTCAATAAGATGAATTAGGCTAATTATAACCTTGGTTGTATTGTGTTCACTGAGCTGGGTTGTTTAATCGTGAAGCTTTCATCGTCTTTCTGCAGGACGACATCATCAGTACTAACTTCACTATGAAGTGAGCTGTCAATATCTCTCCGTCAGTGATTTAGTAGCTTGCCTTGATGAAGTGGTCTATGGTTCGTTGTTTTCTTCTATTGTTGTGTCATTGACTGTATAGACTTTCCGGTTGACTGTCCCTCAGCTTCACCTCTGACCTTTCTGTCGTTTATCATCTTTCTTATTGTTTGATAGATTGGGTCTATGACCATACATCTGTTAATCGCGGACTAACTGAGTTGAATGCCAAGCTTCTAGGAATTCTCTGACATTTTTTGTGTTTCCTCTCTCCGTCCAAAATTTCTACATTGTCGAAATTGAATTCATGTCCATAGTTGTTATCCACATGCATTGAAATGAGTGATGAAATGTCGTGACTTTTATTAGTCAATTGGCGTTCAAGTAGACGAAGTCGAAGGGAGCGACCAATGTATCCAAAATAGTGTTGACTACATTGGACTTCACCTTCGTCTACACGAACATCAATTGGATATTGAGCATCACAACATTTCATCACTCATTCCAATTTACGTGGACAACAACTATGAACATGAATTCAATTTCGAAAATGTAGAAATTTTGATGGAGAGAGGAAACACAAAGAATGTCAGAGAATTCCTAAAAGCCTGGCATTCAGGTCAGTCAGTCAGTCAACAATCAATAGGTGGACAGACATAGACCCACTCTCCCAACCAATAAGAAAAATGACAAAAGACAGAAAGGTCAGAGGTGAAGTAGAAGAACAGCCAACAGAGAAGTTTATACAATCGATGACACAACAATCGAAGGAAACAACCAATCATAGACCACATCGTCAGAGCAAGCCACTAAATTGAGAGATATTGACATCTCACTTCATAGTGAAATGTTGATGATGTGGTCCAGGAGAAAGACGATGAAAGCTTCACGATTAAACAACCCAGCTCAGGGAACATAATACAACCAAGATCATCCACCTGAGCTACAAATATTCCCCACTATTTCATAATCATAACCTCAAAGGCAATATATCTCCACCATACCATTTGCCCTAAATTTTCCTTAAGTTAAACACTAGATACCTAAGACAGCTATCAGTCGAACGTATTTGTACTGTCATTCAATTGGATTACAAAGTAATCTTTTAAGGAATGACACTAATTTACTAGCAAGGCTTGTCGCATTTTAGTTGACTTCGCAATCATTGCAAGGAATCTGGTAGACCAGACTATTTTGCTGAATTGCATCGATACGATCTTTTAACTTACAAAGCTTGTTTCTAAGCTAGTTCGTTGGTTAAAATGCCAGACACTCCAATCCCAGTCAGGCTTATTGACAATTCTTCGTAATGCTTCTCAGGTGCCTGCCTTCCTTGTATGGCAACACACCAGATGCTTTCAATTCTCTCTCAACTCTGTCACCATTATTTCCACTACTAGTGGAATTATTATTACTAACACCTGTATTACCACTACTACTAACACTGCTAATATCTTTCTTTCGATTTCTTATGAATTTATTTCGAAATTTGGGTGGGTAATTACTGAGACGTTGGGTATTCTTGATGTGTCTAATTTCTTGTCACAGATTTTCCGATCTACTAGTAAGCTTTTTCTCTGTATCATTTAGGCATTTAACTAGGCCTACTTTAAAGGAGATGGGATGGGATCGGATGATTCGAAGTGTAAGTAGTGATTCGAATGAGTAGGTTTCCTATCGACACTAGTATCTAGATTTCCTTCTTGTGTTCGTCAAATCTTGCAATCCAACATTGTTAGCCCACCTTCTTCACTTTCTAAATCACAGGTAAATTGGATTCCATTCACTACTGAATTTATAGGTGTCAAGAACCTATTGATGTGTTCCGATTTCAGTACTGTAAACGTATCATCTACATATCGAACCATATCTTTGGAGTAGGAGTAAATGTTTGAAGGGCCACTCGTTCCCAACTATCCATAAATATGTCTGTGAGGATAGGGGATATTGGTGATCCCATGACAACACCTTCAGTTTGTTTATATATTTTATTTTGAAACTTAAAAACTATAGATGTTAGGCACAATCGTACTCGTAGCATGATTTCATCGATCGGCAGCTTATTTCGCTGCGTAAGTTCTTTGTCATCTTTAAGCCTATTTCGAACTGCTTCCACAGCCATGTCAACCGGTATGTTAGTGTAAACATATCGATTGTCGCACTTTAGTTTAAGATTTTCGGGGATTGAATTGTTTCAAAGTAGTATTCATTATGGAATAACAGCAGCTGGAGAGCTATTAATATAGTAGGAGTCCCTGTATGTCACTCCTGGACAGCTGACAACCTAGACCCCTGTCAGAGATTGGTCTGAGGACTCTCAGGTCTTGTGGTGACTGCCTCAGCCAGTCAGTCATTTAGTCATATTTCAATGGCCAACAGTTTCCTACTTCTGTTAGTTCAACGCACCGCACAACTATCATCCAAGACAATCAATTAACATCCGCTTTACATCCAACTTGGTTGATCCTGCACGTCGTAACTTCACTCACTAATTATCAATAGGCAGTAATTTAGTTTACGGCTTTAACTGTGTTTGTTCAATAATTACTTCCTCAAATAGTAACTAAACTAAATTGCATGGATACACTTTTCAAAAGACAACTGTCAGTTTTATAGTACTACTTGCCAACAGCTGCTAAGGAGTTATGTCACTGGCAGTCTAGTAGATGGTTCTTTTTCATGGAAGCAACATTATTATTATTTGTCTCATGGGTTCCTAATAGAACAGTAGCACATATGCAATGTGCTCTGTCCTCTGAAATCTTTTGAACCTGGCTCCACGACAGCCCACAAACTCTCATTTCCTCCTCCTACGATCTCCTTCACTTCACCCTCACCTAAGACGCCCAACTCGTCGCTTCCCAGCGAGGTTCCAGTCGAGGGCCTGTCGCATGATGTCCCCAGTCGACCTTCTCAGTCTATGTCCCATCTATCTCCACTTACTTTCACCGCATATTTGGTGAGCGATAGGTTCTTGCTTTGTTGGTTCGCTGACAGACAGCCAGAGTTCCTTGTTTGCTTATTCTTATTATTCTGGACATCCATCTGATATTCAGCATCGAGCCAGAGTGAGCAGTTGTTGATGAATATCTGTAGTCTGTTGGAAATACGTTTCGTAACGCATCAAGTCTCTCAAGCATACAGAAGAAGCACTGACTCGCTTGACTGGATTGGTGTTGAAAATCCGGATATTGTTCACGCTTTATGCTGAGTGCAGAGGATCTTCACAGTGGTTTCAGGTTAATTGACGCCTGGTTTGCTTTTCTGATTCTGACTTTGACATCCTCATCTTTGCCGCCTGTAGTTGAAACGATGCTTCCTAGATAGGTGAAGTAGTCTACTTCCTCTAAGTTTCTCCCATTGATGGTGATTGGAGCTTGCTGTTGTTGTTGTTGGTGGTGTTGGTTGGATATCTTCATCACCTCTGTCTCGGTCTTCTCTATATTCACTTGAAGTCCCGTCTCCCTTCACTGCTCTGCCCTACCCTGTCTCTTCTGCCAACCTGTTGGTTTTCGCCTGTAGATCTTAAAGTTTGTGTGACATCAGACACAAGCCATCACTGGTGAAATCCAAATCTTCTAGAATCTTTTCCCGATCCAACGTATCCCTCTCTTCTCGCTCCTCACTGTTGTCTGCTGCATGACCCAGTCCACTGTATTCAGGAATATCGTGGGTGATAGATAGTAGGCAACCTTGTTTCACTCCTGTTTTCACTTCAAAGGCGTCACTGAGCTTTCCATTGTGAATTACTTGTCATATGGCGTCTTCATATAGTCTTTGAATGAGATTGATAAAGGCTTGTGGTGTTCCATAGTGTTGAAACAGTTTCCAAACTACCTCTCTGTCGACGCTGTTAAAGGCTTTCTCAAAGTCGATAAAGTTGAGGTAGAGAGTTGACTGCCATTCTATGATGATGCGAAGCGTTGCAATTTGGTCTGCACATGATTTGTACTTCCTGAAGCCTGCTTGTTCCGGTCGTAGTTTTGAATCCAGTGCATCCTTAAGCCCCTCCAGGATGATTCGGCTTAATATTTTGCTTGAGGTGGACAGGAGGGTGATTCCTCGCCAGTTCTTGCAAACACTGAGGTCTCCCTTCTTCGGCAGTTTGACAAGGTAACCCTTCTTCCAATCGCCAGGTACCTTCTCTTCCTTCCACAGCTTCTGCAACAGTGGCGTGGTGTGAGCATGTCCGCTGTTGTCTCTGCGTCTGCTCTAAGTGTTTCTGACGGGATTCCATCTGGTCCTGCTGTTTTCCCACATTTCAGTAGCTTTATGGCGTTCAGGACTTCCATTTTGTTGGAGGATTTATGTTCACTAGTAGTTCTGTGGCTGGGCTGTAGGTGGTATTTCTGGAAGAAGTGCAGGTGGTGTTGGTGGTCGATTCAAGAGCTTCTTGAAGTGGTTGGTAATTAAATTTCCGTCATCATCTTTTATTGGTTTCGTCTGCGTTGATCTCCTTCCAGGTAGTAACCTAGTTATTTGATACAATGTTGTCAGGTCTCTCTTACCTGCAGCCTGTTCTGCTTCACTTGCCAGTGTTTTGTAGAAGTGTCTTTTGTCTTTTCGTGCACTCTTCTTCACTTCTTTGTCCAGTGTTTTATACATTGTGCTCAGTTCCTCATGTCGCTGAGTATCCTTGCACTGTTTTATCTTCTGCTTCACCACCCTCCTCTCCTCTATCAGCTTTCATGTATCAGTCGAGATCCACTCCATTCCCTATCTTCTTTCTTCTTCCTTCCTAATACGGTTGTGCTGGTTTCTTCCCAGATCTCTTTCAAAGACTTTCAGTAATCTTCCACACAGGTTTCTTCAGGGATGTTCCTCGATATCTCCCATGTTGTCTTGATGGCTGGCTGCCGTGAAGATTTCCTTTATAGTTTCATCCTTCAGTTTCCGAGTGTTGTACTTGAACCGCGGTCTATCACCAGCTTCCTTGAAGGCTTTTAACTTGGTTTGGAAGGTTCCTTGCACTAGATAGTGAGTGGTGTGAACCTACATCTGCTCCTCTTCTTGACCTGGTGTCAAGTAGACTGCATCTCCATTTTCTTGAGATTGAGATAAAGTCGATCTAATTTTTAGTGTGTCCATCTGGTGAGATCCATGTCACTTTGTGGATATTCTTGTGCTTGAACACACTGCCTCGCCTCCAATCACCAAATCGTTGAATGCACAGAATTTTGCATCTTATTGTCTTTCTGAACCAAAGTGATCGGCTTCTATGCGTATATCAGCTCCTGGACGGATGCTTTTGTATTGTTTATCTTTCATTCTCACAATAATGATGGGTGGTGGCTAGTAGTGGAATCCAGAATACGCGCTTTGTTTTCATTGAAACTCGTCAGATGGATGTACCCGCACCATGGCGAGCGAAATGTTTCCCACTAAGGATCGAATACGGGACCTATCACTTTAAAAACCAGAGGGTTATCCACCAGGTGAGATAATACAGACAACATTATTAAAAAAATATGCCCGTAGCAAAAGACGTGGAGTTCGTGTCTTGATTGCTCAGGGGATAACGCTCTGGTGTTTGAAGCGACCAGTCAAGGGTTGGAGTATTATTGAAAACCTCATTACCAGCTGGAAGTCAGGTGTATCCAGCTGCGGAGTCCCAGATAGGTTGAAACCCCTGTCCTGTATTCAGTTGCTAGTTTCTACCCATCAATAATATGTCCGGATGTTCCCTTAAGTAGCCAAAGACGTCGCAATTATGCCTTCTATTCCTTTTACAAGCATACAACACTTCATTCACATAATTCGAATCATAATCATGCGACTCAGGTTTCAGATGAGTTCCATGGATATACAATGATATATCTAATGAAACATGAACAGGTATCGCTTTCAATCATTGTTAAACAACATAAAGCAGCAGAAATATTGAATCTGTGATAGCAGTAGGATATATCCCACCATTTTATTCCCTATAGAATGTAGGGAAAAGAACTCAATATACAAGTAAGCAAATAAGGATAAAAACATCATAGTATATTCCGTTAAACTGTCACTCCTTGGTTCAGATGATGGAAGTGTAACAAGAAGCTCACACATTGCAAACTCGAGGGCTTGAAAACCAAATTGGATTACAAGTTGTTATTCATCACGGACTGAGGAACCATCGAAAATCTGGAAGAACTGTATAGATGCTTCTTTTAGTATGTGATTCCTCAGGTTGTGTTATCACTGAGCTATTAGGTCAGCAGTCGACATTTCCTGCTTCTCTGAAGAAATCACTTATGAGCACTGAACTTGGTTTAAGATAAGATTTCTATGAAATTCCAGTGAGAAGTCATGACCTGTGGAAACAGATCAGTTTGAATTTGAGGAAAACTACTCAGTGATAGAACTAAATGTTGGTTATAGTACAAGGCGAATTGGGATAGGTGAGAAAATGTAGACCATTGTGTTTCAAAACACTGGCCTTAGCGGCAACGTGCTAGCAGCGAAACTCTAAGCTTCAGAATTCGATATTTGTCGAGATCAAGCGTGTGTAAAACGGCTATCCAGTACTTTCTAGTTTCCAGTGGTTCTTCAAATAATATCAGTCAGTGACAAATATTACCTGAGAGTAAATCAATCGACAGAAACCTCCAAATTAAATAGGATTGTAGCCTTTGAAATAGTAAGGAATATTTGTAGCTCTGGTTGATGGTCTTGGTTGTATTGTGTTCTGTGAGCTGGGTGGTTTAATCGTGAAGCTTTCATCGTCTTTCTAGACAGCGACGTCATGAGTACTAACTTCAGTATGAAGTAGCCTTTCATATTAGATCTGTTTATTTCATTTATAACACACAGTCTGATAGAGTATTCTTTACTTGGTGATGTTTCCAGCATCGCTTATCATTGCTCATAATCATATCAATGTAATAACACAACACTCTCCACATTTGATTTTCATAGTAATGTCACCTCATTTGATTTGTTTTTATTGACAGTAAAATCCTCCATATCTTTGATATAGGTGTGTTGCGTCATTCTTATTACATATGTTGGGTATTGGCTGACCCCATGAACAAAGATTCAGTAATCAATCTCTCTCAATCTCCACCTAATCATATTGAACTGAAGTACAGTGGTTTGTCCCACCTACATGTTAGGGCGTGCATTGTAATAGCTGACTTTTCTTCGGGATTATTGATTTTATTCTGGTCTGTCGTTCCGATGTTCTAACTGACTCCAACCGACTAGTTTGACCTATGTACTTGACCTCACTGTCATTACAAGCATTTTGATGGATTAGATTATTTCGCTTAATTGGTTCTATCGGATCCTTAAGTCAGCTGACAAAGCTTATCTCTCGGTGAGTTTGAAGGTTTAAATACCAGTCTAATTCCAACTTTTTTGAGGATCCTATGTAGAGTTTCTAATGTACCTTCCTAACAGAGTAACAGAATGGAGGCTATGAACTCCTTTTTACTCGTGCTGTCGTTACTACTCGTACTAGTGTTACTATTATTATTTCGTTTCTTGTGTGTCCATACGAATTCCTAATAAACTGTGAAGGATAATGATTATTATTATTATTGGAGCTTGTTTTATGTGTTTCAATCCCTTGTTTACTGACATTGGGTGAGATGACCTGCAGTCTAGTTACCTGTTGGAATGCGTAGGTTATCTGTAGACGGTGGTATCCAAACCACCATCTATCCTTCGTTTTATTCTGCAATCCAACATAGGTAATTCTCCTTCTTCATTTTCTATCTCCTTGTGAGTGAATTGGATTGCCTCAACTATGATTATGAGCAATACTGATTTATGCTCGAAATGTCATCAAATGAATAGGTAATATTAGATCATTCATTGTGTGTTATAAGTCAAATAAACAAATCTAATCTGGAATTAAATGCTACTTTAGTGTTCAAGTTTTACATCTATATTTAAGGATTGTAGCCTCTCTTAAAAGATGTATACTTATTGATATGAGACATGAATGTTTGTAGAGGTTATCAATTTGCATAACTCACAGTATAACTAAATAGTTTTATCTAAATAGATATCAAATTATTCACAAATAAATAAACATAATATAATTTAGAAGTAGTATTCATCATGGACTGACTGACATCAGTTGGGGAACCATTGAAAATCCGAGAGCACTGGACAGCCGGCTGTTTCGTCCAACTAATATGGGACTCCTCAGAAGTACACACCCACGATCCGGCCACGGGTCGAACTCAGGACCTTCAGATTTCATGGCGAACGCGTTAACCATTCGGTTTCCACTGGTTCACAATTTCCAACCTCTGTCAATTCACGACATAGCGTGACTGTCACCCAACGTCTTCCCCTTCAATTAGCATCCACTTCACATCCCACTGGTTGACCTCACAGGTCACGGCTTCTCATTACAGTTGAAAATTGTGAACCAGTGGAAGCCGACCCAGTAGCTAGATGATTGAAGCGTTCACGGTGAAATCTGAAGGTCCTGAGTTCGATCAGTGGCCGGGTCGTGGGTGTGTACTGCTGAGGAGTCTCATACTAGTTGGATGAAACAGCCGACTGTCGAGTGCTCCCAGATTTTCAATGGTTGCCCAACTGATGTCAGTCAGTCCATGATGAATACTACTTGTAAATTAAAAAAAAATCCCCATTTTATCTCCAAAAAACATAATATAAGTTAATTATTATTGCCTTACCTGCACTGAAAAATTGATTATAATGGTCTTTTTTGTTAAATATTAAATATATATAATCCATTGGTATGGAGCTTATAAAATCCAAAATAAACCATGATTTAACATAATGACGTGCAATCTCTTTTGGATTTAAAATAATTTCATCTGCATAATCATTTGTCACTACACCTGTAAATAATAGAAAATAATCAGGAGAAGAAAATGATAAATGATAAACTTATAGTAGATATTTGTGCCGGATAATAATTGAATGTCAGATGAGAATCTGAACTGCAGCTGGATTCGAATCAACTACAACTAGGTCAGAAGTCGAACCTTGCAGCTCAGTTGGTAGAACATCAGGCTGATAACACAGTGGTCACTGGTTAGTTCTAATCCGGCTGCGGTTCAAATTTTCATCTCACCTTCAATTATCATCCAGTACAAGTACTAGTCTACTGAACTACGATTATATTAGATAGTCAAATCATGATAGTAGATAATTTAATTATAAGATATGTAAATAATAAAATGATCTTTTGAGTATGGAGACTGCTTGTCAGTGAATTGAATCTATGAAGGCTCATTCATTCTTTTAAAGTCAAAGATAAGACATATTATTAGATTTTAACCAGCAAAGAATACCGTCGTTGATTGGACCGAAATGATCAGTTTCTGTTAGCATCTGGGCTCGGGTACGGATGTCTCGATATTGCCTGTGTTTTAATTATATATAGTACTGATGGGCAGTGGCTAGCCGTGGAATCCAGGATGTGCATTACGTCCTATATGGAACTCGTCAGCTGGATGTTCCTGCCAATCATTATTATACATAATTTAAACACAGGCAATATCGAGACATTCGCACAGGAACCCATATGCCAACAGAGACTGATCAATTCAGTCCAATCAACGACGGTATAAAACAAGCAATAATACTAAACCTATACCCGTCGCAAAAGAAATGGCTATCGTGGCTCGGTGGTGTAGTGAATAACGCCCTAGCATTTGAAGCGATCGCTCGCGAGTCCGAGTCCCTGTGGGAACAACATCACTTACTGGGAGGCAGGTACACCCAGCTGACCACTGAATCCCAAACAGGACGTAAAGCGCATCCTGAATCCCACTGCTAGCCATTGCACAAGGAATCTATTATTATTTTCCCGCCTTGAGTTCCTAGTGAAACATAGCGACTCAATAGCACGCCTCCATTCCACTGTCTTCTCTCTAGTCTTCTCAATCTGGCTCCACGACTGCCCACAAGCTTTCATTTCTTCCCCACATGATCTCCACCATGTCACCCTCATCTCGGATGCCCAACTCATCGTTTTTCTTTTCGGATTTCACTTGGTGACCTGGTGCATGATGTTCCCAATCGATCTTTTCATTCTATGCTCAATCCATCTCCATTTTGTTCACCTGCATATATTTGAATCGAATACAAAAAAAGATGGTTTTAAAAATTATTTTTCTTCAAAAGGTTTCTCTTAAACCTTTTACGTTAATCAATTATATCGTTTATTGACCAATAGAATAGAGTTCATTGAAAATGAAGAAAAAACTTTGAACTTTTCAGGTGAGTTAATCTGGTAATGAAATGACTTTCTTTTAACATATAAAAAGACAATCGAAAAAGTTAATGCTTTATTCATAAAACTTTACTTTCATGTTGATAAGAGACAACTAAATGAACTGAATAGTACTTTAATTCTACTTAGTTGACCAGTCCTATCCTTTTATTTGTAAAAAAAAAATAAGGTGAATTCCTGTTTAATGGTAACATTTTTTGATAAAAATGGTTTGTTCTATTCAGAGAATTTTAGGGATTTCATATTGTCACTGATCATTGATTGAAATCAGTTGGATAACCATTAAAAACCCTAGAAACAATGACCAGCTGTTCCATCCTAGTATGAGACTCCTTGACAGAGTGCACCAATAACTCGCTAGGAATTGAAACTAGGATATTCCAATGACTTACTTTTAAAGATGATTCCTGATGGTCTAATGAGAAGTCGTGATTGATGGAGCCAACTTAGTCAGATATGAGAACAGATACTTGACGATGGCCTTGGATGGAGGTCATATCATATAGTGAACTGACAGAAATGGGTCAAAGGTAACATGCTGCCCATAGAAACTGGAAGTCCTGGATTCAGTATTTGGCAGGGTCATGGGTACGCACTGCTGAGGTGTCGCATACTTGGATGAAACGGCTGTTCAGTGCTGAAATCAATTAGTGACATTCAGTGATGACTGGCGATTTCAAAATAACTTTGTTTGTAGGAAGTTGAACAATTCAGCATTGTACCAACCGATTTGCTAGACTCAACAAATAATCAGGTCCCAACTTTGTGTCAACCATCAACTGTTTTTCCCAGTCATCATGAATATAACTGTCTCTTCAACGTCATAACATTCACTGTCAACAAGGAGAAACTCCGCATAGAGTTGTTCGGTGTAACTGTTTTTGTGTTGTTGCTGACTACTATAACCTGAGGATGTTTGGTTCATCGGGGAAAACACATCAAGTCATGTTCCATATGACAGTGAGCCTCCTCGTAGACCCGTCAAGTCAGCTTGGCCAAAAACGCAGTCAACAAGACCTTTCTGTGCCAGATCACTGGCATAGGTTTCCAAAGCACAGGCGGTTTTGTTAAACATTCGGATTCAACCCACTGAGCATGGAGAAGTGCAGACGAAGGGCAACGTTAATCCAGCTTTCTATTTCTGGTGGTTAGTGCCGTTGAAGCAACCTAAAGAAGTAGGTATAATCTGACTTTGAGTAGATAGCTGATACTTGTTCCGGAATACTGATGGCACTGACAGTTAGACTTGACTGTAAATCAGTAGCCTGAAAAGAGCCACCAGTGTGAATCTGTTGGTCTGGTGGATCTCCCAGAGGAATGTCTTTTCGGGGAGTTGAGCTGCGCCTGAGTCTGTAAAACTCTGGAGAATGTAGTGAAACATGACCCACGCACGTCTGATCACGGAAGGGAGCAAGTAAGGTCAATGAACCGATTACCTGGAGAATATATATGTATTGAAACCTCAGAGTTGGGAGAGTCCAGAGATAACATCGGCCACTTTGTGCTGGAGGGGGAGGGGGAAGGAATTCATAGAATGCTCTTGCAAGAGTGTTCGTTCTTATATGAATAGGTCACCTCGATGCTGAAACGTCCAAAGGTTTGAAGACACGCCCGGAAATCAAAGTGAAACCTTAGATACCATGGATCCATATTATAGTTGAACGACACAATCTATGATTACGGCTTTTTGACAAAATCTTACAGCAAACTGTACCTAGTACTATACGTCTATTGAACAAGTTGTATGGAAAGCGTCTTCAAAGAAGTAAAGCACTGGTTCCAAAAAGTATTTTGAAATGATATTTTACCATTGACAATGATTAAGGGTGGTTACAAAACTTTATCATGTGGAATTTGGAGGACGTTAGCTGGTGTATGAAGGTTAGATTAGTCTGGACAGTTGGTCATTCTACTTGATGAATATATGGAGTACGGTATTTACGATAATTATTATAGTATTCACAACGAAATATTATGTATTCAAGCTTGAAATCTTTAACAGAAATCCTTTAAGAAGTTTTTGAATCCAGAGATAATGGCCAGAAATTAACCATTCTTAAGTAATAAATATTAATCAACTTTACTGATCCAAAGGTATTCTGTTAATGTCATAATTTGAAATACTATTATCATTATTTTTCCATTGGGTTCTCAGTGGATTATAAAGCTTCAGTAGCACACCTCTATTCCACTCTCTTCTCTTCAGTCTTTTCAACCTGGAGCCACTAATGCCAACAAGCTTTCATCTCTTCTTCACATCATCTCCTCCATATCATCGTCACCTGGGACTCCCAACTAGCCTAGATGATTTGGATTTCACCGATGATGATGATGATTTATGTCTAATGTCTTGTAGCACAAACTGGAAGATCTACAGGCGAAAGCTAACAAGATGACAAAATAGGCGAGGCAGCGAAAATGGGACTCCAACTAGGTGAACGTGGAGAAGACAGAGGTGATGAAGATACCCAACCAAAAACAACAACAGTATCAACAACAAGAGGCACCAATCACCATTAACGGGAGAAACCTAAAGGAAATTGTCTCTTTCACCTACCTACCTGCGCAGATAGCATCGTTTTAGCTACAGGTGGCATAGGACCGGAAAGACAGCAAAACGGACCTCGCTTCATTGATCTGCGGAGATCAGTGTAGAGATCTACTGTACTGCACTCTGCAGAAAGCGTGAACAACATCCGGATTTCCAGCACCAATCCAGTCAAGTCAGTGCTGTTATATGGTTGAGAAACTTGGTGTATCAAGAAAAGCACTTCCAACAAACTACAGACATACATCATCAACAGCTGCCACCTATGCTCACTCGATACTGAAGATCAGACGCATGGCCAGAATAATAAGAATAAGTAGCAAGGAACTCTAGCATAGCAACTAACCAACGAAGCGAAAACCTATCATACAATAAATATGCAGAGGGAAGTGGAGATGGATTGGATTGGGCATACACTGATAAGACTGATTGGGGACATCATGCGTCAGGTTAGGCCATCGAGTAGAATCCAAAGAGGAAACGATGAGTTGGGTGTCCGAAGTGAGGGTGACATGGAAGAGGTGATATTAGGAAGAAATGAAAGCTTGTGGGTAGTCGTGGTTGAGAAGACTGCAGAGAGCAGAGTGGAATGGAGGTGTGCTAGTAACCTAAGGAAAAAATAAATGATGATAATAATAATAATGTTTTTTTGAGATGAATGAGGATTTTTAATTTAGAAGTAGTATTCATCATGGAGTGGCATCAGTTAGGGAACCATTGAAAATCTGGGAGCACTCGACAGCCGGCTGTTTCGTCCAACTAGTATGGGACTCCTCAGCAGTACGCACCCACGACCCAGCCACGGGTCGAACTCAGGACCTTCAGATTTCACGGCGAACGCGTTAACTATTCGGTTTCCACTGGTTCACTATTCCCAACTTCTGTCAATTCACGACATAGCGTGACTGTCACCCAACGTCTTCCCCTTCAATTAGCATCCACTTCACATCCCACTGGTTGACCTCACAGGTCACGGCTTCTCATTACAGTTGAAAATTGTGAACCAGTGGAAGCCGACCCAGTAGCTAGATGATTGAAGCGTTCACGGTGAAATCTGAAGGTCCTGAGTTCGATCAGTGGCCGGGTCGTGGGTGTGTACTGCTGAGGAGTCTCATACTAGTTGGATGAAACAGCCGACTGTCGAGTGCTCCCAGATTTTCAATGGTTGCCCAACTGATGTCAGTCAGTCCATGATGAATACTACTTCTAAATAGTAATAATCTTTCATCAAATTTGTTTGAACTGTTTTCAATGAGTCAAGGTCATCATATAACCTTCAGATGAATGACATGATTTCATCATCGTCATTATCCTTAACTTTGCTCCTTCAGAACATCTTTCATAAAGGTATTAGAATACTGTATATGTATTATAGTAAGCAAAATATAAATATGGCATGTATATCATGTACAATTCACTAACCTGTACGAAATTTGACAGCAATATCCACAATAAATACAACATCTGATATTGAATTGAATATAATCCAGTGTATACTAAGATCATCACTGAAAAATGATATGGCTACTGGTAATATGATTAAATTGGCAATGAGTAACATAAGCATTAGTAAATCCCAATAAAATCTGTTAAGAGAAAGAGAAAAAAAAGACAAAGACGTAAGAGATTCAACAAGATGTTACATTGAGTTGAACATTGTTATATCGTATAATATTTGATATAGAGGTTTGTCAGGATTTTTATTGATTGATTTCAAATTACTATCCGTCACCGATCGACATCATTTGGAGAATCACTGATATTTTTAGAGTATTGGATAACTGTGAGAACTGATGAATCTGGAAGGACTTGAGCCCAGAAACTTCAGCTTCCGTGGTAAGTACGTCATCATTGAGTTACAGGGCATATTCAAATTATTAGTATGCCTAATTCATAAAAGGTAGAAATATGCATCATGGATTCCAGTATCAGTCTACTTCAAACAAAAACATCACATTGGAACTTGGGGTAAATTCGAGGGATCCATCAAATGCCAACAGACACTAATAACTCAGCTCAGTATATAACAGTCAAAATGTGACAAGAGGTGGTTGCCGTAATACGCCAATTCAATAGTTTACACTTGGACGAAACACTCATCTAGATGTTAACATATCTAGTTAAAGAATTTCAAAGAGGATAAGACGCTCATTCATGATTCAACTGTTAGCTATCACCGAGAACATACACTTCTATACTTCAAGTTTTCATCTCACATATAAGCTGATCATAGTCGATTTCTTCTAACCTACCTATATATAAAAGATGGATTAAAGGGTTCCATTGCAAAATACACTTTACATTCATCAATCAATCATAACTTCAAGATATGACAGAATGTTGTATATAGAATGCAGAGAAATTATAAGGTATTCTGTACACGTTAAGTAAAACATGGATATATCAACCAAGTTGGGATTTGATAGTTTGAGAAAATTTGAGCATTCAGTTAATGATAGTGCTCATAATTTCCTAATGAAAATGTAAAACAAAATAAATTTGTTTCAAATGACGTTTCTATAGAATACCATAAACCTTTATCAATCTCATTCAACAGCTAACAATATGAAGACGCCACATGACAAGTAATTCACAATGGAATACTCAGTGACGCCTTTGAAGTGAAGACAGGAGTTAAACAAGGCTTCCACCTACTATCACCCATGATATTCCTGATTGTGGTCAACTGGATCATCCAGCAGACAACATTGAGGAGCGAGAAGAGGGAGATACGCTGCACCGCAGAAATGAACCTCGAAGACTTGGATTTCACCAGTGATGACTTGTGTCTATTGTCACACAAACTTCAAGATCTACAGGAGAAAACTAAGAAGTTGACAGAAGAGGTGAGGCAGGGTAGGACAGGGCAGTGAAGGGAGACGGGACTTCAAGTGAATATAGAGAAGACCGAGACAGAGGTGATGAAGATACCCAAAGAAGGCCACCACCACCACCAACAACAACGACAACAAGCTCCAATCACCATCAATGGGAGAAACTTAGAGGAAGTAGCCTACTTCACCTATCTAGGCGGCACCGTTTTAACTACAGTCGGCACTGGCACAGACGAGGACGTCAAAGTCAGCCAGCCAGCCAGGATCGGATAGACAGCAAGACAGACAGGCGTTCATTAACCTGAAACCAGTATGGAGATAGACTGCACTGCACTCAGCATATGGAACAAGATTCGGATTCTCAAAACCAATGCAGTCAAGCACGTCAGTACTTCTATGTGATGCCTGAGAGAGTTGGCGCGTCACGAAAGGCATTTCCAAAAGACTACAGATATTCATCAACAACTGCCCACTCTGGCTCATTACTGAAGCTCACATGTCCAGAATAATAATAGTAAGCAACAAGGAACTCTAGCTGGCTGGTGACGAACCAACCAAGAAGTTATCGCTGGACAGATATGCGGTGGAAGTAAGTGGAGATAGATGGGATATACACTGAGAAGGTCGACTAGGTTGACATCAGGTGTTGGGCCCTCGAGTGGAACCCCGTTGGGAAGCGACGAGTTGGGCTTCCGAGGTGAGGTTGACGTGGAAGAGACCGTGCAAGGAGGAAATAAGAGCTGTTGGAGTGTCATGGAGCCAGGTTCAGAAGATTTCAGAGAACAGAGTTCACTGCAGACGTGCTACTGAAGCCGTATGTATCATTAGGAACCCAAGGGACGAATAATAATAATAATTAAGCAAGCTATTTTACAAATAATAGGTGTAGATAAAATTAAAGTTGTCAGTTTTTGTGGATTGTTGATGCCAAGTAATGGAGTAAAGAATAATTCATTTTATGCAAATGAATAACAAATTGCCCAGGCCATATTTACATTTCTTATAGCTAAGTAGTTTCTCAATTACCTAGCTCTGGTGTCAGAAGGAATGATTTTTTAACACATAAGTGTCCTTAACTCCTTGATTAGTTAGAAACCACTGAGATTGATTTGGAAATTCAGGTGATCTGAACAGTTTGACTCTGTGAACTGAATATGTCTAGATAAATCTTCAGATCAGTCTACCGTCTCGAATTACTGAAGTTTTTCCAGTAGTATACTTTGAAAGATTCGTCTTAGACGACTAGTCTTTGAAACTCTTGCTCTAAGAACACTCTGACAAATGTTTATTAACAGCTTTATCTCAAACAAAACAACACATTCGATTCGAAGGGCTAAAAATGTAATAGTTCCAGTAAATATTTGAATAAGTTTGAAAAGTTGGTCACTGTCTGCTTATTTGAGGAACAAGATATTCAGCGAAGAGACTCTTTTCAACACAACTCACAAATATCTTAAGAAGCATGAGGAACATGTCAATAATTGGCCTTGTTTTATATGAACGTATCCAACCAGTTGGTTCCATAATCCCTCGTGTATATGGACTACCGAAGATACATAAAGTGGGATTACCTCTTCATCGGATTTTGGATATGGCTGGTTCACCTTATCACCGAACTGCTTAGTGGTTAGCTGAAATTCTGGAACCTGTTAGAAGGCATATGTCGAGTTTTTCTATCCGTGATACATTTCAGTTTGTTGAGGGTATTAAGGATTTTAATGCTTTAGACAAGATGATGTTTTCATCGGACGTTACTTCATTGTTCACGAGTTTATCACTCACTGAGACTGTCTGTTATATATGTGACTATATTGATGCACATAATTTAGACGTAGGACTACCAACTAGCTGCTTGAAAGAGCTTTTGCTGAGGTGTACATTTAATGTCCAATTTAGTTACAATAATGAAATCTATAGACAGGAAGATGGAATTGCGATGGGGTCATACTTGGGACTATTGTTAGCAGACTTTTTCATGTCAAAACTAGAGAATTCATAACTTTGAGGGAGTTGTGGAGATTTGGAAATATTTCAAGTTGTTATTCATCGAAGACTGATATCAGTTGGAGGAACAAAGGAAATCTGGGAACACTGGACAGCTGTTTCACCCGACTAGGACTCCTCAGCAGTGAGCACCCACGACTCCGCCCTCCAGGGATCGAACCCGAGACCTTCATTTCTCCAACTGGTGTCAGTCTACGATGAATAGCAACTTGAAATTCACAACTTTGTCAAACTGTTAATAGCCTTGATTTCTACAGAAGATGTATAGATGATGCGTTTGTTATTTGTGACAAAAATGTTGATCTAGACGGTATTCTTTGTTTATTCAATGAATGTCATCAAGCCCTCAAGGTTACCATAGATAAGGAATCAGAATCAACTATTCCTTTTCTTGATATGCTTCTCATCCGACGTAAAAATGGATACCTCAAAAGATCCATCCACAGAAAAGCAACGTGGAACGAGCAACTAACTAGTTTTTACACCAGGGTGCATATCAACAGAAAAAGAAATCTTATTCATTCTCTCTGCTATTGTCTAAGAGATATCTGTAGTGATGATTGTATTCTTGGAGAGAGATCTTTTTTAAAAAGCATACTAGTCGAAAAAGGTTACCCTAGCCATTTCATTGATAAAAATATGCTAGAAGGGAATATTAAACCGGTCATTCACTCGGTCTCAAAGAAAAAATTGTTGTTCATGAGCTTAGAATTTAAAGGGTGATCTACTATCGGATGTACTAAAGAATAGTCTATGGAGATCAATCAGTAGAACTTTTTTTCGCAGCAAGATTTCAGTTGACTTTCATCAGCCGTAACCTATTTTCCGTTTGTGTTAAAGGTAAGCGTCTTCGTTTGGCCGCCTCCGTGTTCATCTACCAGTTCACCTGCTCTTATGGAGCAAGGTACATCGGCTGTAGCCGCAGAATGCTTTCTACAAATATACGAGAACATGTTCCTGCTTGATTTTATAAAGGTTAAAGACAGTTTCGACAAAACAATAAAGACGTAAACTGTCTAGACCGTGTAATATATTTGCGCAACACATTTCCAACTATCTGATCACACACACACACACGTACTTGTCATAGGTACTTATATAAAAACTCATGAAGATAAGGGGTGAGAAAATAAAAAGAGGTCATGTAGGAAGGCTGAATTAAAGGCCGAATAACACTGAAAATCAATAGAGCGAAAATAATAGTACATAATAGTACATCGAACTTGGTTGTCAATAGCATATTAGATTTGTTTATTTGATATATAGAGCACAGTGTTACAGTATTGCTCAATATCAATGTGACATTGATATGATTATGAGCAATAATTTATACTTGAAACGTAATCAAGTAAATAATACTGTAGTATTCATAATGGACTGACATCACTTGGGGAACCATTGAAAATCTGGGAGCACTCGACAGCCGGCTGTTTCGTCCAACTAGTATGGGACTCCTCAGCAGTACGCACCCACGATCCGGCCACGGGTCGAACTCAGGACCTTCAAGTTTCACGGTGGACGGGTTAAGCATTCAGTCACTGGGTGGTCGGTTTCCAGTGGTTCACAATTTCCAACTTCTGTCAATTCACGACACATATTACACTATAGTGCTCATTAGTGACTTGCTTCCAGATGGATGTTAGGAAGTTCTAATGAGAAGCCGTGACCTGTGGGGTCAACCAGTCGGAAGTGAAGTGGATGCCAACTGAAGGGGAAGACCTTGGGTGACAGTCACGCTATGTCGTGAA